GTCCCTGGAGAAGGCCCCGGCAGGAAAGCCCGGCTGCTGCCTGCACCCCGCTTGCCCGATGGCCGTCGCGCCGGCCGCACGCAGTAGCGCTGCTTTGCTCGGCTGCTCTTGCACAGTCAAAACTGTTTTGTTTTTTTTCAAATCTGCAGTAAATTAAGAAAGGAAAGCAGATTTTATGCGTGCTGGCTGTAGCTCAGTAAAGGCTGAAGGATTTTTTTTTCCCTTTTTGTGGTTGGACTGCTCAAATCTCGAGTTTTCTGAAGATTGTGGGGATGTTCCTTTGCCTTACTTCTGAGACAGCAAATTCAGCATCCCGTGAACGTTTACGTGTACAAGGAGTGTTTTTAATGACTGTGCTGCTTACTGTCATTACAGCCTGCAGTAGATTCTAAATTTTTCTCACATAGATTTTAGCCAAAGACTTTTTCAATATATAAAGATTATTTAAATAAGAAAAGACTTTACAGTACTAAGATGAACACTCTATTCCCCCTTTTTTTCAAATACAGAAAAAAAAAAAAAAAATCATAGAAATCATTGGCTTTGTTGAGATGCTGCCTGGCCAAGCTGGACAGTGTGAAGCTCCCGGTACCGGCGTGTGGGTAACAGGAGAGCAGCTCAGTGCGCACATTCAGGGGGAGAGAAGCGACTGGTAAAAGTGTTCTTTAAAACAGAAGAAGGAGTAAACTACGTTTCAGGAGCAGAGGGGTGAAGTCCGAGGCTCAAAGTGGAGAAGGTGGGGGGAAAAATCCTGCATGGGGGCAGCTGGAGGGCCCTCGGGGATGTCGGGTGTCCTGGTCGGTCCTCCGGTCGCTGCACGGCTGCGTTCTGTGGGACGGGAGGGTACGCGGCGTTAGGGGGGGTGAGCGGCAGCCCGGAGGAGAGCAGGAGAAAATGGGAGCTCAGGGTGAGAGCAGGCAAGGGATGGGAAGGGTGGATGTGACCGATGGAGGATTTCGTTGAGCCATAGGTAACTTAGCCCAGTAGTGGAAAAAGTAACCATAAGCATTTTAAATATGCCTTAAAGAGTTTTATGCTCACCCCTGGAATGATGTTTCTTTGCATCGTGTTAGCAAGACAATAAATGCTGCAGTGAATGATATCTTCACGATTTTACTATCTTTATTAACTTGTGATTCTTAAAGTGATGGCCTACAGATACGAGAGGCATCTCTGTAGAGACATATAGGTCTAAGTCCTAGGTAGTTTGAATTTTCTTCAGTCCTGTGTATAACTTTTTAAGCCCTTTTAAAATAAATTGTAGCTATTCTTAAATGGCTTTTCTAGTATGAGCTAATATACAGAAATCCATATGCAGTATCTGAAAATACTCTAGGTGGCTGGAGTTTAGTAGGATGGTAGGCAGCCAAAGAGGGTGCTGAAGGAAGACGAGGGTTTGGGGGCTTGCCTGGAACTGCTCGACGTGTGTATTGTATGGTTCAGGGACGTACGTATGCAGGGACAACGAGTTGGCTTAGTCCCGTGGTGGCTGTCTTTTCTGAAACGTTGTAAAGTTGAGACTGTCAGCATCAGGGGTTCCTGTGATTTCCTGCTTTTGTTTTGGGGGGCTGTGTGTATATATACATACATGATTCTGCCCCTTTACCCCGCTCTCGTGAGACCCCACCTGGCGTCCTGCGTCCAGCTCTGGGGCCCCCAACATAGGAAGGACACAGATGTGATGGAGTGGGGCCAGGGGAGGCCACGAAGAT